CCTGCAGGGAATTGTGTTGCTTTGAGAGTGAAACAAACTGAGTGAAAACTTTTATAGTGAGTAAATACGATAAATTAATATATAATTGAAGAGAGATAAAAATTTTCCGACAACAACGTGTTTCTAGCAACTCAACATTTCTGCATTGAAATGCTTTTTCTGGTTGCTTTAAACAGGGTTGCCGCGGGTCATTAAAAATCATTAAAAGTCAATAAAGTATTATTTTTTAAATTAAGGCCTTAATTGGCATTTAAAATAATTAAAAGTGATTATCCTGGCATTAAAATTGCTTTATAAAAAAAAAAAAAAAAACATTTATATAAACAATTTCGTCAGATGTATCAGATCTAACTGGTTCCGTGTGTTTGCGCGGTACTGCCTCTGGTTGAACGTAAAGCCGTATGTTCGGAAAAGAAGCTGGGGGCAGAGAAAAGGCTATATAATGGGAAAATGCAAATTTCAACAAAAGTGGGTGGAAAACAAAGAGGATTTTGACGTGTTTTTATATATATGTATATATATATTATATATGTACATATATATATGTGTGTGTGTGTGTGTGTGTGTGTGTGTGTGTGTGTGTGTGTGTGTGTATATATATGTGTGTATATACACACATATATATAGACACACACATAGGAGAGTCATGGGTACTTGTTAAAGGCATTAAAGAACATAAATTAGAGTTGCTCATTCCTGTAAAAGCCCTGTTACGGTTTTATTTTTATGGCTTCTGAAGGATATAATTATTGAAACTTATGGTAATAATGCTTGAAAATCTAAATGTTCAAAACAAGCAAGACTGATTTATTTCATTTCATGTATGTTTTTCTGTTTTCCCCTAAAGCAAAGACTGATCAGGCTTTTAAAGAATTCCTTGAAGCAAGGAACCCCACCAAGCAGCACTCGTCCACCCTGGAGTCCTACTTAATTAAACCAGTGCAGAGGGTGCTTAAGTACCCCCTGCTGCTCCGAGAGCTGGTCTCCCTTACTGATGCCGACAGTGAGGAGCACTACCACCTCACTGGTAGGAAAGCTTTAAAAAAAAACTGCCAACGTTTACACTTTGCATGACTTAAAGCTAATGTAGGTCATTATCAAGTAGTAGAATCTTATGCAAACACTGCATGAGCAAGTAAAACCTTCATTTGATGTGTGTCCTTGCAGAGGCCCTGAAGGCCATGGAGAAGGTGGCTAGTCACATCAACGAGATGCAGAAGATCTATGAGGAGTTCGGCTTAGTGTTTGACCATTTGGTTGCGGAGCAGACGAGCCACGATAAGGAGGTGGATCTGTTTTTCCTATGACATTCCTAGCCTTTATGTCCCAGAGTATCAAATCTCTGCTGAATATAAAGATGTTTCTGCATCTTTTAGCTTAGCCAATGTTTTATTTGTACACGTCTCCACAAAAACATGCTTATTCTCCATCATCGTTTATGTCCCGGTCAGGTCACAGAGATTTCCATGGGCGAGTTTCTCATGCATTCCTCGGTGGACTGGCTCAACCCTCATCCGTCTCTCGGCCGCATGAGAAAAGATCCCCTAATTACTGTATTTGGTGAGTCTCGCAGCACGTCATTCTAGGACGTTTTCAATATTAAAATAAACGTAGAGCAAGATGATTTGGTTTGCCTGGGATGTGTGAGGTGTGTGTGTGTCAGGAGGCATCCTTTGAATTTAAACATCCATAGCTGTAATGCTACAATGCTGATGTGTGCTTTAAGGCTTCAAACTGGCAGCTGAAATGCTTCTCTATGCTCCCAGGAGGATTTTGCAGTCAAAACTTAAGATGCTGATATGTTTTTTTTTATTTTCCACCAGTTTTCAAGAAAGCAGTGATATTGGTCTACAGGGAAAACTTCAAGCTGAAGAAGAAAATGGTAAGAATAGCATCTGTTATACTTTCCCATGATGCAAATAGTTAAAAAGGATCTTTTTTAGTCTAACATTCTCCGTCTGCTCCATCACAGACGAATCCTCGTTCTTCGCTCTGTCACGGAGATTCAGACCCGTTTAAGTTCCGGTGGCTCATCCCGCTCTCTGCGCTGCAGGTCAGGCTGGGAAACGCCGCAGGTACGCCGCCATGTTATGCCCCTTCACACATTACACCTGTTTACTTCCTTCCGTTCCATCCTGTTTTGGCCATTTCAGTTCGACTCCCTCTCTTCTTATCCTCTTGTGGAAACATGTTTGAACTATTTCATTAAAAGCATCGCCTCTGCTTTTTCTCTCTCTCTCTCTTTCTATTTTTTTTTTTCTTTTTCTAGGAACAGGCACAGAAAGCAGCTGCATTTGGGAGCTGATTCACTCCAGGTCTGAAGTGGAAGGCAGACCAGAAATGGTTTTCCAACTTCGTAGCAGGTCAGAGATTTGCTCTTTAGGTGGTTAATGCTCATGAATTCGGTTTGGTTCCTCTATTAAAACTAAAGGATGCTTAGCTGAAGGGCTCTTCAATGGCTAACAGAAAGGGACACAATTATACATGAGAGGAAAATCATGTTTATTCTATTTATATTTTATAAGTAAAATGTTTCTCACCTGGTATGCATATTAAAACCCCTTTACTGGGGAGTGTTGCCCTAGTGGTTAGAGCAGTGCGCTTGTGCTCTGAGAAGGTTGCAAGTACTCTTTGTGATTCCCCACAGCCTCCATTCTAGGTCTGAGCAAGACCCTTAATCCCAAACTGCTCCCCAGGCGCCGCACAATGGCAGCCCACTGCTCCCGAAGGGGGTTGGGTTAAATGCAGAGGTAAATTTCTCCAATGTGAGATCAGTAAAGTTCAGTTATTATTGTTATTATTTGACACACCAGAGGAAATAGGGTTGAAGTTCATATTCCAGCAGAATTCCTTTCTGTACTTTGATTTTATTAATCAGATAAAATCCTCAACATTAGATGGAAGTGTTGTGATGAGGTGAAATGTGGAAAGTTTGACAGGTGTGACTACATCTGCAGTGGGATAAATATTCACCATGTGCAAGAATTTGAAAGTAGAGGTTAAACCATTTTTTCCCCCCAGCGTTTTATCATCATTACACTGTCACTGTCTGTATAAAAGTATAGAACAACGAAATTTACGCTCTGCATTTTAACCTATCCCCTTGGGGAGCAGTGGGCTGCCATTGTGCGGCACCCGGGGGGCAGTGTGGGATTAAGGGTCTTTGCTCAATTACCCAGAGTGGCAGTCTGTGGGAACGGGGCTTGAACTCAGAACCTCAGGATTCCAAGCTCTATGCTCTAACTACTAGGTTAACCACAGCCATATTTTTCTAAATATTCAGGGAATCAAATATTTGTGTCTGAGCCCTCAGAGCTACAGGTGCCTCGATATGTTAGCAGGCTTGTAAATTCCTGAATTGAAAGGTCAAACTTTGCATGTTATCAGTCGGGAATTGTGACTCAGCCTTCAGGACAGAGCGAATAAAGCTGCTGCTGCTCCGTAGTGTTGAGGTGGTTTGGGTCAAATGAGGGCATCAGAAAACTGACTTAAAAAGAAAATTGGTAAATAAATTTTTTTTTTCTTTTATTTGAAGATGCTGCAGAAATCCTGTAATGCATTTATTTCCACAAAACTAATCTTTCATGAGAAGATGAAGGCTAAAGAAGGAAGTAATGCACCAAACAGTAGTCAGCGAGGAAGGATCCAGGGGTGTTTGGCTAGTTTTTAAAGAGTAAAGTCAATTTTCAGGTTTTATATTTCCATTATGGTTAATATAGGTGAGCAGATAAAGGCTCTGCAAATGTATATGTATCTGTCTAATATCTTTGTTGTTTTAACTTAGAAAAAATTAAAAACCTTATTCTGAAGGTATGGCTGCTTTTATTTTTGTTGTGATGGCGGGCCTCATTTAATTACATGTAAAGAATGCAAAACTAATATGAAAACTTTGCACAAACTCATTTAAAACGATTTTATTTCTACGTTTAAAGTCAGTTTTTTAGAATGAAACATTTAAAATGGCGGAAAACACAGACTGAGTTCTTCACTGATGTCCAAATCCAGGAAACGAGTCTATACAAAAATTAATATATATTTTTTTATGTCATGTGGCAAAAAATAAATAAATAAAAGTCTCAGTAATGGATGGAAATCTGTGTCAATAATAGCTCAAAGTTCTGGGCTGAAGCTTAAAAAAGTAAAAATGAAAGCAAAAAAATAAATAGTATTTAATGAATACTTGGTATGCACATATATAACAAGTGGAATAATATATAATGCATTGTAGAAGTCTGTAACCTGGTTTGTCCTGCAGAGGCGTTTATATTAGAAGACTGTCTGCTCTGTGTGAGCAGTCCTAACGTCTGGTGACTGATGGCGCTGACCATGCTAGTAATTCCCATTACAAGCTGTGAAATTGAAATCCGTCTTAATGAATCTAATCTACTTTTCCACACCACGAAAAGCCGCACATGTCCTCATCTTTTATATTCTGCTTAAGAAATAAAGGGAACACTTTAATAACCATCCTAGATCTGAATGACCAAAATATTCTTTTTGAAAACTTTATTCTGTACAAAGTTGAATGTGCTGCACAAAAATCATCAATGGAAACGAAATCAATTAACCAACGGAGGCCTGGATTTGGAGTTGATTTGAAATTGGAAAAACACTACAGGCTGATCCAGCTTTGATATAATGTCCTTAGAACTGGTCAAAATGATGCTCGGTATTGTGTGTGGCGTCCAAGTGCCTGTATGACCTCCCTACGATGCTTGGGCATACATTAAGAGGAACCCAGGGCCAACCGCACCAGCATATGGTCTCATGAGGGTTCTGAGGATCTCATCTCAGTACGTAATTGCAGTGATGCTACCTCTGGTGAGCACATTGAGGGCTGCACAGGCCTACAACAAAATGCCAGTCCACTGGGCGTGCTTTGGTGACGCAGTGGTTAGCATGCACGACCCATGTATGGAGGCCTTTGCCACATGTCTCTCCCCGTCACTCATACCCCCTTTACTGTCAGCCTACTGTCCAGAAAAACGAGCCACTAGTGCCGTAAAAAAGGTGTTGCAACAATGTCAGCAGATTGCTGCCTGCATTTAAAAAAACATTTACAACATTGTCAAATTTAAAATTCGCCAAATTTGGCAAAGTACAGTCCTATCTTGGATGTCAGACCCTCATACAATCCTCATGGAGTCAGTTTCTAACCTGTGCAGACACATGCTGGAGGTCAGTGTGCTCCTCCTGTTCCTCCTTGTACGAAGGTGGGGGTAGCTGTACTGCTGCTTGGTTGTTGCCCTCCGAAGGCTTCCTTCACTACTCTTGGTGCACTGGCCTGTCTCCTGGTAGCGTTCGCAGCCTCTGGACACTACGCTGACAGAAACAGCAAACCTTCTTCCCATGGCTCACATTGGTGTACGATCCTGGATGAAGTGCCCTATCAGAGCCACTTGTGTGGGTTTTAAAGTCCGTCTCATGCTATCATGAGTGTTGAAGCACCACCAAGATTCAAAAGTGACCAAAACATCAGCCAGAGAGCATGGGTTCTAAGGAGCGGTCTGTGGTCCCCACCTGCAGAATCGTTTATTACAGGCGCCTTGCTAATTGCCAATCATTTCCACCTGTTGTCTATTCTATTTGCACAACAGCATGAACAATTGATTCTCAATCAGTGTTGCTTCCTAAGCAGAAATTTTGATTTCTCAGAAGTTTGATTTAATTGAAGTTATATTGTGTTTTTTTTTTATGTGGTCTCTTTATTTTTTTTTTTTAGCAGTATGTATATTGTTTCTGAAATCTTTTTTTTTTTTTTTTTTTACGCTGACTGAGTCCCTTTCTTCTCTTCTCTCCTTAGTGTGCCTGAGAACAAGGTCAACATCATCAAGGTCATCCGCTCCCTCCTGAGGGAGAACGTTAGGAGGAACATGAGGGGCGAGGGAACGTTGGAGAGGAACTGCAAGGAGCGTCTGGTTCCTCTGCGTAAAATGCTGCCTTCCTCTGCCAAACTAGGTGAGCATATAGACTTTGTGTACAACAGAATTTTCTTCAATGGTTTTACTATATGTCCTCAAGTTTTATTTTTAACATAACAGCAAAAATTAAAATGAAAAGATTGACAAAAGCAAATTTCTACCTTTTAGCTATTTTTAATAAGTAATGATCAAATGAGTTTAAACAAAACCCAAAATCTATAAAATTAGGATTTTTTATGAATAGGGAATTATGATAATGTAGAATAAATCACTATATTATAAGTAGAGACCAGTTGGAAATCATTCCTGATTTCTATCCACAAAGGGAAGTTTGGGAAAGAAGGTATTTTAATTGGTCTTCATGTGGTCTAACTCCAGAACTGGAGCTCAGCTTCAGCTAAAGGAAAGCCTTACTTTGTCCGTAATCAAGCTGTCCTTGTTCCAAACATTTTTTCCTGTCTCTGAGGTCATTTCTAGAGATCTAGAGATAAGTTCACATCCGATCAAGGCTGACCAGACCTGAAAGCCCATTTAACATTATGAACTGCGCTATAGATTTTATCTTGGTTGTAAGGAAACAGACTGTATAATTAATTGAATGATTCCATTTTTAAAGACTTTCTTTCTTTATCAGGGTCCTCCAGGGCTTCCTGGTTGTGTAAGCAGCCGCTTGAGGAGGTCTCCTTCCAGGCTGGGAATCCTAAGCTGGGGCCAGACTCTGACGATGGAAGCCTAAGCAGCGGAAACTGCAGTTTCTCTGGAGCTCCTCCAGGTTGCACCTCCTCTGATTCTCAGTCTTCCACAGCTCCCCAGAGCTGGTCTCAAGAGCCAGAATCAAAACCTCGCTCCACCTCTGTGAAGGAGTCGGACATTTTAAGCGACGAGGAAGATGATGGCTTCAGCGAGGGGGGCGCGAGAAGAGACAGCGGGGACAGCGGTTCCCCAGCAAGTGCCATCGAAGCCCAGTTCCTGCATCTCAAGCTGTCGGAAGAGGCCGTCTCAAAATGCGCTCTGGCACCGTGCGTCCAACCAGAGGGAATCGGGGACACGCCTGAGATCCAACACAAGCTATTGCAAAGACACTGCAGCGGTGTTAAGAGAAAAACCAACAGTTTGAGGAAGAACCAGGGGATGCTGTTACACATGAAGGAGCAGAACAGGTCAATGGATAGTCAGACTGATCCAGCATCACCATGCGGTGTTACGGACCTCAACGCTCTGCTGGAAAGAGAGTTTAGCGTCCAAAGTCTGACATCTGTTGTGAATGAAGACTGTTTCTTTGACCGAGCTGAAAGCTGTGTTACAGACTCTGGAAATACTATGTCTACATAGATTCAAACAGACAGAACAGGGAGAAAAAAAATTATCTGCCCTTCATATCAGTAGTCATAAAGGTGAGGGGTCTTTTAAAGTCCCACCACTAGTCTGGGGAAACCCCTGTGGCTTACAGCAGTCACTACCAGGAAGGGTGCAAAGCTTTTCCTGAACCTCCATTCCACAGAAGCTTAGGTGTGAAGGATCTCTTTGCTGGCAGACCTAGTTTCCCCCTGAAGTGGTGAGACGAGATGATTTTTAGTCCCGCTGATGACTGCAGCAAATCCGCCAAGCACTAATGTCAACGTGCGCGCTCTGACTTTCTCAGCCTTTCCTTTCCCCCAACACCCTGCAAACCTCCTAGAAGATGCATTCAATCCCCCTCCTCTCCACATCTCAGGCTGATTGGCAGGTTTGATTTGATTTTTGACCTTTTTGTGAAAAAAATGGGGAGAATGTCCTGAACCGTCAGTCACAGAGAAGTGCTGACAGAGCGGGTGAACTCCACAGTGTATACATAGTGACAGGGTATGGAGAAAGAATCAAGTTTCCTATGCAGGGACTATAATTATTTAGACAGCAGGTTTCCACATGCATTCATATTGCCTGATGCATTTACTGAGATGTAACCAAAGGCTGTAGATCACAGGGGCAAAGTTAACTTAGGGGATCATGGTCCCTTTATGAGCTGCACAGGTCAAACATTTTGACCCAAATAGAAAAAAAACAACTTCTTATAAACACAACTAAGCCTTTTTGCTGTATTTCGTGCACTGAAGTACACTGTTTGCCTATATATTTGAATTATTTTTTTACCTGTACAGGTTCTAATGTTATTACTGCTGTTTTTAAATTATTTTTAGGATTAATATCTTTGCAGAGAACCTTTTGGGTGAAGGCTCGAACTCTTGGCTACAGGTTTGGTCAATTCTTGAATAAAAAAAATGCTTAAGTTTGTAGTTTCTTTCATTCTTACTGCAGCCATTTGGATTTAGTTGTGTCACTGAATATTTGGATACCTAACTTTATCATGATTATAATCTTTTTTTTTTTTTTTTACATCGCTGAATATGGAATTTGTGACACTGTACAGTTAAAATATGGCAGAAATCTGCAATAAATTTGCTATTTTTGTAGAGTTTGCCATAGGTAATTACCATTTTGAGGTACTTAAAAACAAAAAGGCAAATCACATCACTTCTGTGCAACTTTACTATGCCTTTAATGCTAGTATACCAATGAATGTGAAATGTTTTATAAATAAAAGCTTCATCTGTGAATGACATTTACAGAGTTGTTTTTTCAGTTTTGCGCTGGCTTCACTTTCACTGGCTGCTTGGTAAAGTAGTTCTCAAACGTTAAGTGTCTCATCTCAGCATCATGCAGAGTCCCTGATTGGCTGTCATGAAGGATTCTACATCCTTCTTTAGGTTTGAAAGGTACGTTCTCAATGGAATGCATACTAGTATGACAGAAATGGAGCATAAATATATAGGAGCAGGGAAAGCATCACTGGTGTGCTTGGTTTTTATGTTAAATTTATTTAATCCTAATGGTGAGATATTTTTTCTTTTTAGGCATCTTAAAAAGGATAATTAGTTCAATTCAGTTTATTTCTATAGCGCAAATTCACACCACGTCATCTCAAGGCGCTTTACAGTTCACCAGATCATCCAGTCAAATTGATTAAAAGTTTTCTATCTAAGGAAAACCAGTTTATTGCATTGACTCAATGACTCGCAGGAAATCCCTCACACTAAGCATGCTTGAAGCGACAGTGGAGAGGAAAAACTCCCTTTTAACAGGAAGAAACCTCCAACAGAACCGGGCTCAGTGTGAGCGGCCATCTGCTGTGTCCGACTGGGGTTCAAGGAGACGGAAGCAGAGATACAAAATGCAGCTGCAAAAGGCGGCCCCGTCCAGGAAACACACATAGGCAAACAAGCTCCGAGCCAGCTCCCATGTCAGAGGACGAAGAGAGGACATCCAGCCAGTAGGGGTGTAAATCACACCCATCATGGCGACTCGATTCAGCATCAATTTCTTGACCCAACAATTCGATTATTTTCAATACTCTATAATACACCTCGATTCGATTTCATTAATTGGTTCATTTTTTTTTTCTTACCTTAAAGGCTAGACAATTTTTTTTATTTGAACTAAATCAATGAAAGCTGTAATATCGTTATGCATTTTATTTGAGAAACAGCAAATAACAGAAGTAGAAAAGTTGTACTCCACCTAGGCCTATGAAAACATTCACTGAAAAATTATCCCTATGTGTTATAGATTCTGAAAGCCTTGTATCAAAAAATACTGCAATGAGTGCATAAGTGCACTAGCAAATTAAGTAACAAAAAATAGAACCCAAAATACTTCCACACAAATGACTTGAACCCACAAGGGGTGTATAAGTCATCTTTTTCATGTCTATCCTGCCTACCTCTTCTTTCACCTCCGCCATCTCCACCATGTCTGTCTTGCTTACTGTTTATGCAAGTGTGTGTGTGCATGCTGAAAGAGGGTATTGGCTAAGAAGGCGAGCTAGGACGGCAAAATAGGTTTAGCACCACTGCAGCATCGGGAGTCAGAATTTCCTCCAGGAGCAAATGGATAAAAATAGACCAGAGGAGAAAAAAAAAAAGAACATGAATCGATACTCTTGCGGACGCAGCGATGAATCCGATCATCAGCAGTTGGCCCAATGCATCGATACAAAACAATTATTCACACCCCTACCAGCCAGTCAGTCAGAGAAACAGGACTACCCTGAAAAACAGGCCGATCTCGAACCCTGCTCGTGTGCTTAGCTTTTACGCTAATTTACATAATTTAATCCTCTAAGTGAGACACTATATATATATATATATATATTTTTTTTTTTTTTGCTATTTAGGCATCTTAAAAAGGATGAATACTTTTGGGTTGTGCTTCCCTGACATGTATCTGGCTGGAACAAAGAACTCCTCTGCTGTGAGCTGCTTGTACTAGATTAACTAGTATTAGATAAGCAGAGGTAAAGGTCTGGTACATTTAGGGACACATTTCCAAGTTAAACCATATTTTTGAAAATTTCAGGTGTTTACTGTTGAGTAAAGCAAAACTAACAAGATGAACCACCTACCCTAACATGTAATTTTTGTTTAAGATAGAATAAGCTTCATTTCATTAAGGGTTTAAAGACTATTGTAATGTTAACATTCATGTTTTCTCATGTGCTCGTTACATTTTAATTACCAAATTATGACCAAAGATGTATTTAATGGTAGTGCTACTAGCTCAGTTAAAGAAGTCTAAGAATCAAGTTGTTGATTTCTGATTAAGCAAATCATTTAAATAATAATTTTCCAAATGTCTTATTCACTTTTGGATTCACCATGATTTGAATTAGAGTCACACTTTAAATTGTTCTAACAAGCAGCCAATAGGGCATGTTTTCGTTTAATATATGAACTATTGAATATTATTTGATTTAATAACATGATAAAAAACAAGAGTACTTCTAGCTGAGCTGAAAAAAACTAACTTTTTTCACACTTTTTCCCCAAGTGAAGCAAAACGTTTTTTTTTTTCTTTTTCTCTGAGGTTTTATAGGAGCTTTCAGTGAAGTATAAAGAAAAGCTCTACTTTGTGAGATTCCCTAATTGTTTAGGATCATTGCTTAAAGCAAAAAATATCAGAAAAACAGGTAAAATTTGCAAACTAATGGTTTTAGAATGTATATAGGCCCTTGTCCACAAAATCTAGAGAAAAATTAAGAAAAAGGATTAAAAACTGACATAACAGAATTATAAGACTAGACTTCATCTGAAGCCTTGCAAAAGTATTCATACCCCCTGAACATTTTTTAAATTATTTAAATAACACCAACAAACTGTCTTTTATTAAGAAATGTTTTAGCATAATGTATCTCAAAATGGTGAAGTAGAAAGTAGTGTTGATCAACCAAAAACACCCTAAATGAGCTCATCCAACTTTATTTACAGATTAAGCTTGGGGAGCATTTATCAGAAAAGCAGCCAAATGTAACTCTAATGGATCTGAAACACAAGCAGGACAAGCTGTTACTATGACAACTTGTTGTTTACTTCGTAAACACGGCCTTTTGTAATACTGGGATCACAAAACCAATGAAAAATACAGATTGCAGAACATTTTCAGGCAAATTTATTGGGTTACATGAAAAACACAACGTGTGGGAGAAAAACAACTATGGACACCAGAATATATGGGATATTATTCCTCAGCAGGAATAAGGAAGCTAGTCAGAGTTGATGGAAAGGTGGAGGAAATTAAATATAAGAAAACCTGCTGGAGGCAAAAAAAGACTTGTGGAGTGGAGCAAAGGGTCTCCTTCTAGCATGATGACGACACTAGAAATGTTATAGAAAACATTAACATATAAGAATGAGCAAAAACGTCTCTAGGAGACTCAAAAAGGCTTAAAAAATGTAACAGCAGCAAAAGGTTTTTCTTTTTAATTTGCTGAGCCATGTATTATTTTCTTTGCAATGCTTTGCACTTATTTTTAGCATTTTGCATAAAACTCAAAAGAATAAAAGTGAACTTCCATGTGTAAAATGTAAAAAAAAAAAATTGTAGATCTCTTTATTGCCCCACAATGGGGAAATTCACTCTCTGGATGTAACCCATCCCCTTGTGGAGCAGTGGGCTGCCACTGTGTGGCGCCCAGGGAGCAGTGTGACGTTAAGGGTTTTACTGAACCCAGAGTGGAGGCTGTGGGGATCAAACCGGGTACTTGCAACCTTTTCAGAGCACAAACACACTGCTTTAACCACTAGGCCAACAGTCCTCCCTTATGATGATGTAATGCATAATGCATATATATATATATATATATAACACCTAAAATGCAGAATCCAAAGAGTCTTCAGCACTCCCGCAAAGCCAAACCTATATAACAGATCACTATCCTGCAGCTGCTGTGCAAGGCATCATATCTACACATTAAAATCATCACTTGTTCACCTACCAAAATAAAAGCTCAGAACCGACACTGTTTTTTTTTTTTAAGCCAATCAGTGGACTATAGAAGACAGCAGCACATTATTCAACCATGTGACTTTTTTTTTTATTGCTGCAAGAGATTATCACCACCTCTCACCAAACTCCCTCTGGCAAGTGGACCCAAGCATACCATCTGTCGTACTGGCAGGGAGCATCACTGTTCTGCTGATCAAAATCTGCTCTAATATTCAAAGAGGTTTCAAAATGGTTCCATCGCATTTTTAAATAATAACTGCATGTTCACTTTTATTCAAAATGTATATTTTTGCTTTAAAAGGTATTTCTGATTGATTAAACGAAACCTGCTGGTAGCATTTCATAATGCTGCTCCGGCAAACATACAGACAACAACTTGCTTGATCTTCAATATAATTTTAATAGAGAAAAAGCAAAATGAAAACCTCTTGTCCAACATTTTAAAATAGGTTTATGGTCTTTATTCTTTTTTATTTCAGCTGAAAAATTCAAAGCAATTTCTGCAGCCCTTTAAGCTCCATCTCCCAAGTGATGGAGCAATACACACTTAAGTGAGAGAAAAAAAATGTCCTGGATGTGGAGCTGCCATGTTCCCGTTCTCTAAATCACCCTGAAAGCACTGACATTTCTTTCAGCTCCCACAGGACGAGGTGTTAGATAGAAACGAAGAAAGAAATGGGACATAAAGAGATACTTACTTGCTGGGAGCTACTGTGGGTAACTAGCTGCTTTCTTTCTCTTTCCAGAAACGAATAGAAGGAAAATAGAGCTCCGACACTTTTGTTTCAAATGACTTATTTCTCCTAGGGTGCTGAGGAAATGTTTAAAAATGTATGTCTGTGCCAGGTGGAAATGTCAAAGCTAAGAGCAATGTGTTGTCTTTCTGCTATTAGTGAGCTCCTTTTGGGTTTTCATGCTTGTTTTCAGCAAGGTTTTGGAGCCCTTGGCATCTCGTCAAATGCATCAACTGGAGTGTGCTGATTCCTCCCTAGGTGCCTCAGTCTGAGCTCCTCCCTAAAGTCATAGCTAAAGAGGCTGGGGTCTTTGGTGCAGAGGTGAGCGTAAGCCTCTGATAAAGCCTTTATATGCGGTATGGTGAGCTCGGTGGGGCGCAGGACGGGGTCTACGTCTGCCTTCTGCATCATCTGCTGAGTCAGCTCCAAACGGCACGCCTCTGGAAACAGCTTTCTGCAGAGATAGGATGGTGCAAATACCCACATTTAGCTGGCTTTGATATCTAAATGACCATGTAGGATTAAGGCATTTAAAAATTTTGACGGAAAG